CAAAAGTTGGTCCGATAAAGTATATTACCTCACTCGCATTGTCTCCGTGATAGTCTAGGACACACATGGCTACAACACTGCATACATGAAATGATAATGACATGCTAATATTTTCAGTGTTATTTTCCCTCCCTGTGTCCTGGCAACTGGTTTGCTTTTTTGACCACTGATTTTCACTGAGCTGTCCACAGTGGTATTTGAGTCATTTCCTGAGTTGTTATAGTTTATTTACAAACTAGCAACGTTTATGACCATTCAAATTATTCCCTCCAGTATGCCATACTTTCCATGTATCCGCATTGTTAATCAATAATGTATTTATTTAAAAGTTTTAAAAAAGTATTTTTTGCCACTATGTTGTCTGCTAAGGTGTTAGAACTTTCTGGAATTCCTCAGTGTTCTCTAAATTTGAGTAACCTAAATAATTTGGTGTCCTCTGCAAATGTTGCCATCTCATTGTTCCCTCCTTTTTCCAGATAATGACAATTAATCAACATTGGTCCTAGCATGATACCTCATGGTATTATCATTTCCATATTGCATCCCAAAAAATGACATTAAAAGAATGTTCAAGTTGCAAAGTCAAGTCCTCAAAATTTAGGAAATTCCAGAATTAAGGCTATCTGTGCCCACTTGTGCATATGCATTAGGAATCATGTTTAATTACAGGATCCATACTGTTTTTCCACAGGACTTCTGCCTAATTTAGTGCCTCGGATGAATGGTGCTCATTGAATAGATAGCTATTCAATATTTTTGATCCATGAAATAACTCCATCTGCCTATTATCTAACTAGATGATCAACGTAAACTTACTGAGAGACCTAAATGAAGGCTTTGCCATATCCTTGTTAGGAATGTTAGATAGCAGGTATCTGAATAATCGTGTAACCACATGAAATCATAGAATCATAGAATACTAGGACTGGAAAGAACCTCGAGAGGTCATCAAGTCCAGTCCCCTGCCCTCATGGCAGGACCAAATACTGTCTAGACCATCCCTGATAGACATTTATCTAACCTACTCTTAAATATCTCCAGAGATGGGGATTCCACAACCTCCCTGGGCAATTTATTCCAGTGTTTGACTACGCTGACAGTTAGGAACTTTTTCCTAATGTCCAACCTAAACCTCCCTTGCTGCAGTTTAAGCCCATTGCTTCTTGTTCTATCTCCAGAGGCCAAGATGAACAAGTTTTCTCCCTTCTCCTTATGACACCCTTTTAGATACCTGAAAACTGCTAACATGTCCCCCCTCAATCTTCTCTTTTCTAAACTAAACAGACCCAGTTCCTTCAGTCTTCTCTCATAGGTCATGTTCTCTAGACCTTTAATCATTCTTGTTGATCTTCTCTGGACCCTCTCCAATTTCTCCACATCTTTCTTGAAACGCAGTGCCCAGAACTGAACACAATACTCCAAGTGAGGCCTAATCAGCACAGAGTAGAGCGGAAGAATGACGTCTCATGTCTTGCTCACAACACACCTGTTAATGCATCCCAGAATCATGTTTGCTTTCTTTGCAATGGCATCACACTGCTGACTCATATTCAACTTGTGGTCCACTATAACCCCTTGATCCCTTTCTGCCGTACTCCTTCCCAGACAGTTGCTTCCCATTCTGTATGTATGAAACTGATAGTTCCTTCCTAAGTGGAGCACTTTGCATTTGTCTTTATTAAACTTCATCCTGTTTACCTCAGACCATTTCTCCAATTTGTCCAGGTCATTTTGAATTATGTCCCTATCCTCCAGATTAGTCACAACCCCTCCCAGCTTGGTATCATCTGCAAACTTAATAAGCGTACTTTCTATACCAATATCTAAATCATTGATGAAGATATTGAATAGAGCCGGTCTCAAAACAGACCCCTGCAGAACCCCACCTGTTATGCCTTTCCAGCAGGATTGTGAACCATTAATAACTACTCTCTGAGTACGGTTATCCAGCCAGTTATGCACCCACCTTATAATAGCCCCATCTAAGTTGTATTTACCTAGTTTATTGATAAGAATATCATGTAAGACCGTATCAAACGCCTTACTAAAGTCTAGGTATACCACATCCACCACTTCTCCCTTATCCACAAGACTTGTTATCCTATCAAAGAAAGCTATCAGATTGGCTTGACACGATTTGTTCTTTACAAATCCATGCTTGCTGTTCCCTATCACCTTGCAACTTTCCAAGTGTTTGCAGATGATTTCCTTAATTACTTGCTCCATTATCTTCCCTGGCGCAGAAGTTAAACTAACTGGTCTGTAGTTTCCTGGGTTGTTCTTGTTTCCCTTTTTATAGATGGGCAGTATACTTGCCCTTTCCAGTCCTCTGGAATCTCTCCTGTCTCCCATGATTTTCCAAAGATGATAGCTAGAGGCTCAGATACCTCCTCTATCAGCTCCTTGAGTATTCTAGGATGCATTTCATCAGGTCCTGGTGACTTGCAGGCATCTAACTTTTCTAGGTGATTTTTGACTTGTTCTTTTTTTATTTTACCTTCTAAAACTACCCTCTTCCCACTAGCATTCACTATGTTAGGCATTCCTTCAGACTTCTCGGTGAAGACCGAAACAAAGAAGTCATTGAGCATCTCTGCCATTTCCAAGTTTCCTGTTACTGTTTCTTCTCCTCACTGACCAGTGGGCCTACCCTGTCCTTGGTCTTCCTCTTGCTTCTAATGTATTTATAAAAAGTGTTTTTGTTTCCCTTTTCCCCGTAGTTAGGGTAAATCTTAGGGTATGTCTACACTAGCTCCCTAGTTTGAACTAAGGAGGCTAATGAGGGCGACCGAAATTGCTAATGAAGCACGGGATTTAAATATCCCGTGCTTCATTAGTATGTTCCCGGGCAGTCGCCATTTTGGAAATTGACTAGCCCAGAGTAACTGCCTGCATCTACACGCGGCAGTGAAATGGGAGTTCAAAGTAACCCCTTAACTCGAATTAGCTGGTAAACCTCATTCCAGGAGGAGTAACAGCTCATTCGAGTTAAGGGGTTACTATTTGATAGTCCCTGTGGCCAGGTCTGGGAGCCAGTGTGCTCCCAG